TATCTTGTAATAATTACTCAAATTATTTTTCTATCAATACCAATTCCAGTTTATTTTTTTTTCAATTTGCGTAACTAGTAAGAACCGTTGTAAAAAACATATTCGTTCAATAAATAACTTCACTACAACTATATAAAATAAATTTCAATTATTTATTTAAATAATATAGAAAATAAGAAAAATTATAATAAATCTTTTTAGTAATAACAATAAAAAATGTTCATTAAAATTAAATGCTTTACTCATATATACAGTCACTTGATTATTATTAGGATATAATTCACTTTGAAGCGAAAAACTAATAGTATAATTACGTCCACTGATCGTATTTACTGCTTGTGATAATTTAACAGGTTTAAAAAAATTATCAATATAACATGCATAGGAACCTGATTTTACTATTGATCTTCGAACTTCAGTTGGATCCCTTGTCGAATCACATACACAATACTCATCTAATTTACCACTTTCAAAACCACTATTTATTATCAATTCAGTTTTATCTAATACATCGTATATAGATATATCATCTAGGTACCACCTCCAACCTCTAGCGAATGCGAATGTAATAATACTTCTTTTTGATAAAGCGGTATATAAGAATGAAAAATTATGATATTTATTATATACTGGTTTCTCCAAATTACATAATACAATTGTTTCTAAATTGTATATTGAACATGAATTACCTAAAATATAGATATCTTTTCTTGTTAGTTATGTTTTGAATAACAAATATATATACCTGTTTCAGATTGTTTGTCACATCCTTTATTGAATGTTGGAGATAGTAATAACTGTTTTTCAAAGAATATTCCACCGGTAATTATCATAGTAATGAACATACATATTATGACGCAACTAATTATTTCAATGTAATATTGTGAACAGAATTTATGATCGTTTCTCATTGAACCAATGTATAATAATGGTTCATCATCAGATTCATCAATAATCGAATTCATATTCATTTGACTAAGATATATAATTATATATTACCGAATTATTTAGACGTGATTATGCTTCAGTCAATACAGTATGATATTTTTCTTTTTCACCACAAAAAGAAAGAATTATTTATTGTATTTGTTTCTCTCGTCTCAATAAAGAAACAAAAACTTGCATTTGAAAGAGAATTTCTTTTCTTCTTTTCTTTTCAAAACAACGTACACAGTAATCTTCCAAATAATCAAAGACATATGTTTATTTTGTTAAATCAAAATATTCGAATCGTATATAAAAGAGAATTTGATCAGAAAGGACCAAAACGATGTTTAAGCGAAAATTAATTAGAATGATAACACAGGAAATAATTCATATATATATATACGAGTATTAGCATTGCACATTCATATTTACGGTTATTATTTATCTAGGAGATAAAAAAACATACATTGTCATGCGTATTTCAATTCTCAATGCAGCAGTTTTTCTTTGTATCATCTGTAAAGATATGTCACAATAGATAGTTTTATATATAAATGAGTAATATACTTTAATGCCTCATATTTTCTTTCTCTTTACAAAAATATATGAAAAAGATAATTTCTTATCATTTAACATCTATAACTCTTTTTATCTTTCTTGTTATTCATTGTCCTTAAATATGATGACAGGGTAAAGTGTATTTTATATTGTTTTATTTTATATAATAGATCAACAAAAAAATATTAGTATGAAAGTCTTTCTAATATTTATATTATTCATATTTATCCATAATTATGTTTGTGAACAAACAGATGAAAAGATCTTCGATGGTTCTGAAGCAACACCTCATGCATTTCCTTGGATGGTTTCAGTACGTTTCAATTTTCTCAATACTTTCACAAGTACTTGTGGTGGTGTGATTATTTCTGACATATTTTTATTAACAGCTGCTAGTTGTTTCGAAGGAAGCGCAATGTATCTTACAAATTATTTTACAATTAAAGCAGGCATACATATGCTTACAAATGGAAATGAATCAACAGAACAAATTAGTTTTATTTCTCATTATATTCCCCATCCAAATTATATGTATAATGGTCTTCTTAATGATATTGCATTAGTACGAGTTTTACCACCATTTCAATTCGATACATTAAGTGTAGCACCTATTTCATTATCAAATTTAATATCAGTAGAAAATATGAATTTAACGACAATTGGTTGGGGTGATCGAAATCTATCAAATCCTACTGTATTATCTTCGACTTTACAACAGGTAACTATACAAGAGAATGTTGAATGTACAAAGAATAAAATGAAAGATCCAACTACACAACTTTGCGCGACCGGTAAATAACTTCTTTTTTTTAGTTGAATAAAAAATTCAGTTTAATTTTTTCTTTTGTCTATAGGAGCTTGTGAAGGTAGGAGAATATTTGCTTCTTTTTTCTTGTTCATATGAAAATATTTTAATTCATACAGGTGATATGGGTGGTCCATTGATGATCTATTCAGATGATAAACAACAATATGAACTTGTTGGTATTACAAGTCATCGTAGTGAATGTACTACAGAAGGTGTATATACTCGTGTTGCTCCTTTTATTGATTGGATCTCAGATATATTAGCAAATCCACCATCTACTCCAATGCCAATACAAACAATTCCATCACAACCACCACCAGTACCAACAACTCTACCACCAGAAATACTTGGTATAATATATATTATTGAAAAATTATTCATAGAAAATAATAATATTATTATTTGAGGTCCTCCAATTCCATTTGTATGTGATACGAGTCGTTCATGTGGATGTTCATCAACACCAGTTGTCTTTCATGATGAACCACCATTTCCTCCCGTTCCAGAACATAATCAAGGTCGAATTGTTGGTGGTGAAACAGCTCAACCTCATAGTTGGCCTTGGGTAGTATCACTTCGACATCCTAGTTTTGGTCATGGTTGTGGTGGATCTATTATTAATAGTGAATGGATATTAACAGCTGCTCATTGTTCACCAAGTCTCTCACATATTGTTCATATTGGTGTTCATGATGAACAATCATCATCTCCTCAAATTCGTAATGTTGTTAAAGCAATTTCACATCCATATTATATACCTTCACCTAAATTCATCAATGATATTGCTTTGATGAAAGTTTCACCACCAATTAATCTTACAACATCTGATACTCATGCTGGTCTTACTTGTTTACCACCACAAAATGATAATCTAGACTATCCAAAGGAAGGCACACGATTAGCAGTAATTGGATGGGGTACATTATCTTCAGGAGGTCCTCGACCAACAAAATTACGTCAAGTTCGTGTTAAAACATTAGCACATGATGATTGGCGATGTATTAATGCAACATATGACGATACTCGACAATTTTGTGCTGCGGTTGATGGTGGTGGAAAAGATAGTTGTCAAGGTAAGATGATACGAGATATTTTCTTTCAATTAAATGTAATTTCTTCTTATATCTACTTGAAAGGTGATAGTGGTGGTCCGATACATCAATGGCTTGATGATCACTGGGAACAAGTAGGAATTGTAAGTTATGGTATAGGTTGTGCACTTGCAAATCATCCTGGTGTATATACACGATTATCATTTTATTATGATTGGATTCAATCTAATATTAATGAAACACCTATGTCATCAACTATAATGACTACATCAAATATTATTACATCAACAACAACTGAATCAAGTATTATTACAACAACAGCAACTGAATCTAATCAAGCTGTTGTAATAAAAACAAATTTATTTTCCACTTTAATTCTATATATTGCATTTCAATTCTTATTTTTATTATAAGAAAATTTTAAAAATACGAAAATAAAATATTATATATAAAAGCGTCTATTAAATAAGGATGGGTGTGAGTATGAATGAATAAGATACATCCGACACCCATCTATTACAAATGTAAAAGCTGAAATAAAGCTTGAATATTTATTAATTTAAAAAAATGAGATTAAATCTTTATGCGAAAAGTGTTCCATCAGTAATAACCGTATTACTATCAATAGTATAATTTCCAAAACAGACATAATTAAAATTTGCTATAACACTAGCATTAGTTTGACTAGCAAGAAAATTATCTAATGAACACAAACCATCTGTTCTTCCAATTGAACATAATCCACCTCGAATTGTATCTAATGGTAAAACTCCATTATTTAATTTCATTCGTATGAATTTATATGGTTTTAATACAGATGAAGATGAATACTCTGTATGTGATGAATTTATTGCCATTGGTACTGATGAAGTACATCCAATTTTTTCTATAATTAATCGAGCTGTAAATGGAGTCATACGAGATACTCGATAATGTTGATTTGATGGAGGAGGAAATATTGTTGATAAATTTTCACGAAAATAATCAATTGATAAAGCTGCTAATACACTAGCAATATTATTATCATGTGACATATCTAAATAAAATAATTGATCTAATGGAAATGTTGTTTCTGATGAATCAAGTGTTGAATTAACAGATGAATAACTTATATTAATTAATTGATGATTTAATCGTGCAATTAATTCTTGAACATATCCAATACCTTGAGCTCGACCAGTTTCATTTCCAAGTCCATATGTATTATAAAAAGCAAGATTTAATGCTTGTTCATAACCACGCCATTCATTTATTGTAAATAATGAACAAAAATCACTTGAACCCAGTGCTACATATTCATATGCACATAAAGATTGCATTGCAAATACATCAATATGTGTAAAATTTAGATTTAAATTTGTATAAGAAGAAAAACGATTTGCTGCATTGGCGAGAACTGGAGCAAGATAAGCATACATAGCATCCTGATCGAATGTAAATGCTGATGGTATAAATAAATTACGACAAGCAAGTGCACCATAGAGTGTATTATTATATCCGCTATCATAAGAAAGTTTTATAAGTGAATATTTATCTGTTGTATTGTATGGACCAAAAAATCCTGAAGTCCAGGCAAGTACAGTTTCGTAACATCGTTGTACGTTGCTAGTACGTACTAATGGTTTTATTTGATTAGTTGCATTATAATAGGGTTGACCAGATTGAGCATTGTATAGAATACGTCCATATTCATTCCAAAAATTGACTCCAGATTTATATCCATCAGCAGCACCACTTGGTACAAGTAAATCATTACTTATGTCTAATGACCAGGTTTTAAGAAATGAAAGTAAACCTAGGAAATTATTACGATTAGTAGAAAGAATTTTTGTTGCAAATCGCAGAATATTTCCACCATCGAATGCATCTGTTGTAAAATAACGAGAAGCATGTCGATGTAATATATGAACTTGTTCGACTTGACATTCATCAGGTAAACCTGTATCTAACACACCAAAGACTGTAGGTGCATTATCTTTATATGGACGAATATTAGCCCAATATTCGGATATTTTTGTAATATCGCCTGTTACTTCATCATCAGAGGCAGTTGATGTACTACTTTCTAGAAGAAATTTATTATATAAGTATTATAAATATTCTTTCGATAGAATACATACGTAGAGTAATTAATAATGATACAAATTTAGTACGAGCTAAACTAAGTATTTTAGTTTGACATCTAATTGTACATGATCTATGAAATATTAATTCATAAATTACATTTAATCCATTATTTGCAGTATTTGTTTGACGTCGTTTTCTCTATTAATTTATAATAATAATAGTTAATATAATCCTACTATAAAATACAATCTAACTACAGTAGCTTCTCAATCATAAGTAATTTTACATATTTTTTAAGCAACAGTTTCTATCGATTTTCAACTTCCTTCTATCTTGTTATAATAGAGCGTTACTTTTGCACTTTTCTCTCTTTGAACATCATACATACTCGTGAAAATGTTGTGACCGTAGCATTGAGAATACGAATAGTTGACGAACCAAAAGATGTTTGATCATTTGATAAAGCTTTTTGCATCTATATTCAAGAATACAATCTTTTATAACTAAATTGTAAATGAATCCTAACCTGATTTTGAACAATATTTTGATTTGAAATATCAAGTGTTGTTCCGGATAACAGGTTAGTATTTGAAGATAATTGAAGTAAAACATTTTGTGGTTTACTAGTGGGTAATAAAGCTTCATAGAACGGTCGAGTTGGTAAATAAGTTGGAATTAGTGAAAGTACAATTGTAGATCCAAGTAGAAATAAGACAAGACCAAAACAGCACATAAAAACCAAAGGGTTTGTATAGTCCCATGATCTTAACGATAAATAAATAATAATTATTAGGTATTCAAAACAGTGAATATCTCAAATATCTTTAAAAACGAATTTTTTTTATCATGATAAATCGTAAAATATTGATGACTCATCGTTATGTGAGGAATAATTATCATCACAGAAGGGAGCATCTACTTCTAGATCATAGATTACAAAAAATACCAATAGAATGTATTGATTCCTAATGACTTTTCATATAAATCTGGTAGTCAGACTAATCAGCCAAAACTTTCTCATCTTTGCCTTTGTACATTCAGTAGAACTGTAGTAATATGATACTCACTTCATTTAAGAATGAAAAACGTCCGTTTTCAATGAAAAAATTTGTATCGATGAACCGAATAGGATTTTAACTTTCACATATTTACTTGAAAACAAAAAACAGAAATCTTTGTAATGTCTATTATAATATATCAGTACAAGTAAATAAGTACGTCGATACTTTATTTTAAAAAAATATAAAATTGTACTTTCTGATCTGTACACTCTCTTCTTCTACACTGTCACGTTAAAACACATGTATAAAAGAAAAAAAAAATATCAAGGACAAAACGAAGAATACATATATATGACTATATCGTCGTATTCATCAACCTTCTTTGGATTGATAGTCAATCTTGATTGACTGATACATCAAAACTATTCAGACTTGTCTAATGAGATTGAATCGATAAATATCTAAATTAGAATAAAATATCAACAACAAACTCTTACGAAAATATTCACAGATTCTATCTATAATAATTCGCAAACATTCGATATGATTTGATTTCTTCTCTATTTACTTACCGAACTGTATTCGATAAAGCCTTCATTTAATTTGTGTCTACCACATGTTATTTCTATCTGTCTTTATACAGGTATAACATTCGTTATGATTCTTTTGTTTAAATACAAACCAATAATATCGAATCAAGAAAAAAAAAATAAACGCGCTTTTTTTGTTATTTTAAATTATGAAAAAATGCTTGTTTTGTTCTTTTAATTATGTTTCGACGTTTATTTGGTGATTCAAAATCTAAAGATACTCGTTCATTATCTCGAACACGTCATACAAATGAACAAAATCAAGATGCACTTCGAACAATCGATCATTTACAACAAAGTGAAGATATGATGAATAAAAAATTAGAAAAATATGATGAAGAAATACTTGATTTACAAAATAAAGCACGACAATGTTTGACAAAATCACATCCTGATCGTCCAGGTGCGATACGTTTAATAAAACGACGTAAACAACTTGAATTACAACGTGATAAATTATGGCAAATGAAACAAAATATTGAATTAGTTAATGAACAAGTTCAAACATCACATTTTAATCGACAAGTAACTGATAGTTTAAATATTGGTCAACAACATTTAAAACGTACACAAAAATTAATGCCAACAAAAAAAAATTGAAGATATTATTGATAATATAACAGAACAAATGGAAATATCGAATGAGATTAATGATTTATTAGCAGCACCAATATTAACGAATGATTTAAATGCAATAGATTTTGATCTTGAAAATGAATTAAATATTTTAGATAATGAAATTCTTAAAGAAAATATGATTCAAATTAATTTACCTGATGCTCATACAGAAAAAATTCAAGTTTCATCAACGAATGATGTTGATAAACAACTAGCAGAATTACAACGTCTTACAACTGGATGAAAATTTTTATAAAATTATATTGATATTTTTTTGAGAATTTATAAATAAAATAATTATTATGACTAAATCAGACGATTTTGTTTTTTATTTTATAATAAACTTTTTTACATGAGTGGTTCAATCGATGATTATTGTTATTTCAGTGATTTTTCTATATGTTTGATGAATATCGTAACATTATTGAGATATCCATGTTTCTAGAATCTGAAATTCTTTTTTTCATCAAAATTAATAACATATAATACTGTATTCGATTATATTACGTATGAGAGTAATTAAAATATCCATATTGAGATTCCTTCTATTATATTGAAAAATACATTCAATAAGAATTATTTATTGTCAGTTTTGTTTTCTTTATTGAATATTCAGTTAGTTTTAGCTCAGATATAATAAAATATAATGAATAAAAAAAATAATTTGTCCTTATTTTTGAAATAATTATGGGGAATATTGGAAATAGCAGATTTTTGATGTTTAATTTCAAAGGAGTGAAATTTATTTGCCACCCTTTGATGCAGATGCGCTACCACTTGATGAAGATGCGCTACCGCTTGATGAAGATCCGCTACCATTTGATGGTGCTCCTGCTGGTGGTGCTCCCGCTGGTGGTGCTCCCGCTGGTGGTGCTCC